TACATACATATATAATACTAGCTAGGCCCTCTTTCGATGAAAGGAATGACCGGTGCTTTAACATCAACTAAAAGTCATTGGCCTACAATACTTACACTCTACTGGAATAGGGAAATAAATCTTGAGAGACGCAAACTCTAAGGTCTAGATCTATACTCTCAAAGCAAAATGTGCCTCACGCAATATCACTTCCGGATTTTCTAAAATTACAGAGACAGAAGCCTCGGCCTAGAAAAGCGATGGACGAAATAAAGAAATTTAGCTTTTTGCAGCAAAACTGTCTCAAAACTGAAAAAAAACAAAGTCGTCATGATCTGGAGAATATTTTAAAGAATATGTTTTTGCGAAAACCGCTGGTCGATCGATGCAGCCACTAAAAAGCCTTTTGAATAGCAAAATTCGGCCACCACAAATAGATAATAGATATGGCAAAATAATCATAAAAACAACACTAGGGAAACAAAAGTTTGCGAACACTTACATCATGATGCGCAATGGTGCGTGCGAGAAAATATATCGGAAAGGCCAAAGAAAGGGAAAAGCTACATGGTTAGTAATGGCTCCACCTCGTCTGAGCGGATTTTATCCTCGGAGCCATCTTCTCTGGAATTGCAGGTTTGAAAATCTATAGGAAAAAATTAACGTTAAACATGGACAAAATCTAACTTTGGTCCTTCCAAACACGCAACAATTCTAGGTTCCAATCCAGTTAGACCAGGTCCGACTATTCGTTATCAACTTGTCATTTACCAATGGACTTATTGACATTCGTCGGGATGGCCTAGAAATGACATAATGTGACTTATTCGGGAGTAAAAAGTTCAGAAAAATCATCATCATCCGGTGCCTTGCCGACTGGCGTGGGCGATCATGGACCTCCATTCCACTCTGTCTTGCGTTGCAGCAATGATGTCTGTTGTTCTTGCTGCTCTCAGCCATGTTGTCAACTTGTCCAGTATTTTTTCCACCTGGCTGCCTCTGCCTCTCTTTCCATTAAACTTGCCAGTTGTTACAACATTCTCCAATGCTTCTTTCCGCATTGTGTGTCAAATAAAATTTGCCTGTCGCTGTTGTATATTTGTCATAAGCTGTCGTCTGCAATTTGCTTCTCCCAAGACTTTTTTATTTGTTTTTTTTAGCTGTCCGTGGGATACGCAGCATGTTTCTTTTGAACCACAACTCTGTCGCCACAATTGTTCTTTCCAGCTGTTTATTGGTTGTCCATGCTTCGCACCCGTATTATATGTTTCGCTCGATGTAACTTTTCAGTACTCTTTTTCTTGTTTCCAGTGACAGATTGATGTTTGTGAGTATCTGTTTCATTTTGTGGAAGGTTGCTTTTGCTTGGCAAATGCGGCTTTAAATTTCGGTGTGACATGTCCCATCTGATGATATACTGGTCCCCAAACATTTAAAATGGTGTACTTGCTTGTGGGTGATATCATTGATTTTGATAATGCATTTTGGGGTTTGAGTTTTTCTGCTTATAAACCATTGTTTCGGTTTTGTTGATGTTTAGGCTTAAACCCGTGTTGTCACTCTCTTGTACGACGACATTTAATATATTCTGTAGGTGTTCTTCATTTTCTGCTATTAGGACTGTGTCGTTTGCTTATCTTAGATTGTTTATATTATGTCCAAAGTCCTCTAAAGCTTTAATCATCTGTGTGGTAATGATGTCAGGTCCTGCAGCTTTCCCATTCTTCTTCTTTCTTAGTGCCTTGATAACTTCTTCCTTCATGATTGGTGGGCCCTCGTTGTTATTTTCTACTTTTCTTTGTTCATCTCTTTTGTCATTGTACAGGTCACCTATATATTCTGTCCAACGTTCCAGTACATTATCTTTATCCATGATAATATTCCCATCCTTTGATTTGAGGTATCCTGTTGATCCAAGTGTTCTTGTATGGCACACGTCTTTAATGTTTCTGTCCAGATCTTTTGAGTTCGCATTGGACTGATTTTCCATATCCTCACATTCTTCTATTAACCTGGCCTCTTTTGCTAGATTGTGTGGGCTGCACCAAGGACACTCCAATATTGTGCATGCGCTACTTGCTAGGTTTAAGTGGCATCAGAGTACGCCATAGGATAGCTCAGGCAAAGATGTATCTTAGTGTAATGGGCAAGAAGGATCATTCACTTCACAAAGCACTTCATGACAACAGGAGAGTCAGAATCAAGAGAGGAAAATCTTGGATGGCGGAAGCAGAGGATACCCTGAGAACAATCTGTGTACCTGAGAGCCTACCACTAGGCGAAGAATGGGAGCAGGTGGCCGGAGAATACAGGGACCTCACCAAGGTCAAAATAAGCATGGGCAGAGACAGAAGAAATGTTGC